TTTTGGTCACTAACCCGTATTTTGGGATGTTACATATAGTATGCACTCACCTTAGCTTTACTTTGATTCGATTCTAATCCTTTGATCGTTCCGGAATAAGCTTACTTTTAGTATCTACATAATCGCACATGGATCTATATCAGTATTATAACTAATATACTCTAATGATTCACTCTTTAGACTAAGAGAAAAGTCAATTTCATCTTTTAATGAAGGTATGCATCGATGCACTACTGATGCATCGGTGCATAAAAGGTATTCGATGTAGTATTATTGCTGGGATGCATCGATGCACTCCTTATGCATCGATGCACCAATTGCATTCGATGTTTTTATTTTAAAAAAGTGCATCGATGCACTACCAATGCATCGATGCACATTCATACAATTTCTGGGTTTAACCTTGATGCATCGATGCACCATGAATGTGCATCGGTGCACTCTGCCCAAAATCCTCTTTTTGAACCGAAAGTTCATTCATTGGATTAATCCATGTTTAATCCCCTTTTTCAATCTTAACTCTAGTACACATCCTTAAACCAATTTATACTCATATTTCATCTTTAACCTTCAAATCCTATCCTTCATGAAATTCAAGAATTACATCAATAATCCAACATGTTTGAATTCCACTTTTAACACTTCATATATCTTAACTATTGATGACAAGTCAAATTAACTTTCATTCTAGTTATGAACTCTATTCCAAGATTTCATTTAAGAACTTCAAATCTTAAATCTCTCCTAACTCAATCATCCTTTGATGTTAAGATAACTTAAGCTTAGTTATCATCTAATAATCAAAACCCAATATTAAATTTAACAAGAAACACAATAATCAGAAATCTTACCTTTGCTTTGGTTCACACGTACAAGGATGAAAGAAGAAGAAGATAACTCTGGAAGGCTTTGGTGTTCTCTTCTTTTCATCCTACTTGTACTCATATATATCCTTATCCCTTATTTAATTAATTTTCCTTGCAAATGGCTCTTTTGCCCTTCCATTCCTTCTTCCTTTCAATTCAATCCTACACAATCATTTACATATAAATCTTTATACTATTCATTCATTCTATTTTAATCACCAAAATATGAAAATTTCCAATTTAGTCACTAACCCGGTATTGAGGATGTTACATGACGTCTATGTGACGATGGTGCTAAAGTACTAGGAATACATTTTATGGCACGTATATGAAAATGGTGCTTGCACGTATGTGATGATGGTGTGATGTATTCCTTATTATTGGCACATTGATACTGTGTGCTACAGTACTTGTGCATTATATATATATGCTCATCTGACTCGCATACATTACATTCTCAGTGGTTTACATTGGACTATGAAATGAAAAAGTGAATAGTATATGCTATGAAATGAAATTGAATGATACAGGCTATGAAATGAATAAAGTGAAAGGCACATGATTGATCTGAAATGGAAATGTACTAGTTGATTGATTTAATTGAAAATGAGTTATATGGCATTAAAAGTGCAAATTGTTTACAAGGTAGTTAAATTGTATATGATCCATTTGCATGTGATTTTCCTATTATGTATTCTCAATTTTCATACTATGTATTCTCAATTTTCATACAACGGATTGTATATGAAACGATATATGAACATACATGTTGATCGATATGATCGAATGAAGAGCTTTTATTGAGAACTTGGTTAGACATTGAATATCTTATATATGGTTTGATGAATAACAAATCAGTTTTATATAATGCTTACGTATTTTATATATATGTTATGTTTTGCTATACGTATGTTTTATTTTTATTATTATTAGAATTATAATGTCTTACTAAGTGTATATTTAGCGTGTGATGATTTTCACACGTAGGAAATGAAGAGCGTTCGGAGTAAGGATCTAGGCCCAATATCAACTTTAGAAGATCAAATCCGCTTCAGAATCAGTATGGCATCTTTTTTTAATGTTGATGGTACTAGTTGACATGTATACTATATGATTATGATATTTTAAATAGATATGTTTGAATCTGGTTTAAATAGATGATACTTATTATTATTGTTTATGAATAATGGTTTGTTGATTAGTATTTTAGTGAAAATGATTTTTAATGCTATCGAAATGAAATATTTTATGATCTTTTATAATAATTGAATGATTTTAGAAAAAAAAACAAAATTTTATTGATTTTCGAATAAGAACTGTATTGAAAGAATTATGTGACATCCTGGACTCGTATGTTGTAACGTATAAGGGAAATGGGTGTTGTTAAAGTCATATCTCAGTCAGCATGTTAACATCTAGCTTTGAAAATCGTTAATTTTTTAACAGAAAAGGATGAGTTTAGACATATTGAATAATCGGGTGACCATTTTGCATTTTGTAATAGTCAGGGGACTCAACAAAGCAATGTCCTATAGTCTAGGGATCATTTTATAAATTTTAATAGTTGAGAGACGCAAAAAGATGATATCTTATAATCGGGTACCATTTATGTAGTTTATCCTAATTTTAAATATCTAAAATTCTCTTTAATTATGGAATTGATATTAGCTTTTATGGGCTCTTCATTTCTTCTTAAAAGCTGTATCTATTGGGTTAGATGTTGGACTACTTATACAAGGAGAGAAGAGTTGAAGAGTCGGAAATATAAGGGCAACTCGGTTATAAAGGAACAAATAGCCTGTGTTTTTTAAGGCAGGCTCCAGTTCTGTCTCACTACTTCCCATCTCATACTGGATTTAGCCAACATTACAGTTGATCGTACAAGGTTCTATCTTAATTAAAGCTGAGAAACAGCTACAGCTTACACTGTTTCTCTGAGCCATATTATTACAATATTCTAAAACCAACATTGCCCAAATCTGTGTCTAATGGGCTCTGTTCTCTCACCGCTGGGGTATGACCATGACGGTCTTCAATCCCCAAATATCATCATCCCAAGCAACATCCCCGGACGATGCACCATACGCCTTGTCAACGTATTCCAAATCCCACTGAGGCCACCCCACCGTAGCCCACGGCATTTGCTCCTCCGCCCATTCCTCCCACCACACGAAGTCGCACTCCGCCGCCACTACTCCTCCATCCTCCTCGGTTTCCACAGCTCTCTTGCTCTTCTTTCGACCATCTTCATCACCCATGGCCTGCCCTTGTCTCTTCATGATTTTTTTTTTGCGATTTTCAACGGAAAACGATGTAATGGAACGGGGAAGAAGATGATTAGTTATACATAGGCGAAGGGATGTGAAGCGAGTGTGTACAAAGTTTCTGGACAACGCGGCGGTGATGTTGTGGGAATTTGTGTGATCATATTATTAAATAACGTGTCATACTTGAAACAGACAGATCAACCGACAAAATCTTCCCCCGGGCACTTTGAAGTTGGAACCGAACTCTAATATCATTAATCTGGACCCCTGTTATAGATACGGGTCCGGTTCCTTGAATTTATCGGTAATCAAGATTTAAAGATAAAAATAAATTTGTCGAAAAATATAAAAAGAAAAAGAAAATATGAAATATAATTTTATGTTAAAACGTATCAATTTTAAAAAATATATTATAAATTTAAAGAAATATAAAGTTACAAAATTTTAAGAGATATACATAAAATTATTAATAAAAATATAAAAAATAAAAAATTTAAAAAGTACAATCCCACTTAATATTTTAGATGGGTTCCTACATGTAGATAATAAGTATTACTTATTTATAGAGAAGAAACTCGTGGGATTTGATCTTAATTAAAGCATCTAATATGAAGTACTTGAGGCATCAGCTAGCTACTGAATTCAGTCTGTGCTGTTATTCAAGGCTTGGTGGCAATTACAATATTAGATACAGACAACTTGGTCAAACCCACTATAGGCTTTTAATTGGTTAAAGTCTAGTATAAGTAGTACTATTATACTGAAAAGTTCATTTTAGTCCCTTGATTATGAAAAGAAATATTTTATTCCATGTACTATACAAAAATTTATTTTGGTCCTCTACTATAAAAATGAATATCTTAGTTCCTATACATTTGAGAAGTTAACATTTTGGTCCATCAGTACTAAAATTATTGATAGTTGATTTATTTTATTTTCTGTTTATACACTCTTTAAATCCCTCTTGATTTTAAATTTGAGGTAATGAATCTTTTTCAAAACATAAACATGGATTAGTTTCGAATCACCCCAAAAAATGACACATAAAGCAGACATTTTATATTATCTTATGGATTATAGTTTTTATTATTATTGCAAGAAAGACAAGACAATAAAACTTTAAGTTATATTAAGAGTTTTTTAAAGATTAAATTTACATTAATCAAAATTGATTGCACGATACATTAGTCGTGAAATTCAACATATCAAAATGACAAATATTACAAACAGAAAATATATTTACAATACTGTGATAGAAGTTTCAATCTATGATCAATGGCACACAACATAACACAACATTAAAAATTTTGACTAATTTTACATTTAGCTTTCATAAGAAGTTAAGATTATTTAAAAATCATAAAATGATAAATCATTAACAAAAAATAATGAGAATTTAATTTAAAAAGAAAATACAAAATCATAAAAGATATTTAAAATGTCATTAAATTTTTTAAAAATAAAATTATGAAAAATATTATAATTTTTATAGTATCTAAAAGTTTATCCAATCATAGTTGTAAAATATTGAAAAAACGACCGATATTGTCGTATATTTTTTTATTTACTTGCTTTCACAAATAAATTGAATAAATTATTTTTTAAGAAAGATTAACTTGCATAGTTTTAAAATGTAGGGACATATACATGATTTGATATCAGTGGTGTAAATTTTTAAAAAGTTACATTACAAATTAAAAAATGTGAAATTACAAATTTTTTATAGATATAAAAATAAATCGACAACGAAAATATAAAGAAACACATAAATTATATAAAAATTCAAAAATTTCAAGAAATATAGCTAATATTGCAACTCATCATACTTGAAGAACTACTTACAATTAGCCTATTTAGTTATCCCTTCCTATTTCCCATCTTCTAGTGGACATAGTTAATATTGCAGCTCCATCATACCTGATAAAGCAGAGAGTAACAGCTACTACAGCTTACACTGTTTTCTAAGCTCAATTATTAGCATATTCAACTTTCAAAGTAAAACATATTTTGCCAAACTTCCTCTTCTCATCTCATTTCTGGGGTATCGCCATTACCCTCTTCAAACCCCAAATATCATCATCCCAGGCAACATCGCCGAACAATTCACCATAAGCCCTGTCCACAAAATCCACATCCCACAACGGCGACCACACCGACGCCCACGGCATTTGCTCCGCCCACCACACCGTACTCTGCAACCCGCACCCCGCCGCCACTACTCCTCCTCCCTCCTCCTCCTCCTTAGTTTCCACAGTTCTCTTGCTCCTCTTTCCACCGTCACCCCTGGCCTCCATATCGCTCCTTTGCCTCTTCATGATTTTCTCTTACGATTTTCAACGGAAAACGATGGAATGAAATTGGGAAGAAGAGGATTGCTTATATATATATAGGTGAAGGGGATGCGAGGAGAAAAAGGCGGCTGGCCAGTGTTTGTGTGCGCAAAGACACGGGCAGATAAACTGACAGAATCTACCACCTTGCTTCCATGACCAGGCACTTGGCACCCAACTCAACTATCATCCATCTGGACCGTTGTTAAAAAGGCGGCCCCGTTCGTTGAATTTATCTCGTGATTAATGATTCAAAGACGCAGGACACACAGGTAAGAAATACGAAACTACTTTGTTACCGAGAAGAAATTACACGTGGGATTGGTAGGTGTTGTTTTGTGGAAACTTCTCAACTTAATAAACCATCCAATACTTGTTCTATAAGGATCAGGTTTTGTTAGGATGAGTGTATTACCTGAATTTAGTGGATTATAATCTAATAAGGTTTAATTATTTTTATTTTGAAAATTTTGATTTGGGTAAACGATAAAATTGAATTTAATCAAATATGATTTTTTGTTTTAAAAATTAGATTGAATTTATAATCAAATAAATTCTTTTTAACTCAACTCAAATTAAATTAAAAATAAAAGGATATTATACTCAAATTATATTCGAGTGGACGTAAAATACCACCCGACTCAACCATGTCCATCGCTAGGTGTTGTCGGCATAATTAAATTATGGAGCAGCTATTTAAGCTACCAATATGGATTGGACTGATGCAGTCATTTAAGACTTGGTGTCGACTAGATATCGAGTACTCGGTCAAAACTTGAGAAACTATAACATGAAGGACGGCCTACTGTTGTTTTTTCAACGATTTTGGACCTAGTTACACCAAAGGGTCACAAAGTCCAACGAATAGCTAGAGAAAACTACATGGAAGGTCATTCAACTTCTATAACGTTAATGTTTCTGTCACTTAAAAACTTTTAATTTAGTCACTTAATTTTTATGATATTAATATTTTGATCATGAAATTTTAAATTTCTTTTTTTGTCCTCTCGGTTGTCAAGGCTTCGCCTTGACTAATATAAACTAATCCGGGTCACACACCTAACTTTGAAGGGTGAATCCCGCAATAGAGATTTTTTGCATGCATAAGGATTACACTAATGATCTACTTAAACAATATCAAGTTGCTTACCAAGTTAACCAATATTTGTTTGATATTAAATTTTTTAATTTAATCATTCAATTTTAAAATTTTGAATTTATAATAATTTTATAAGAAAAATACTTCCCCTATATAACGTTTTTCGTTTTGTCTATTATGCAGAGTAAATATGGGCTCGATTACAAATATCTGCAATAAGACGTGATCACTTAAATGTGTCTTCTAACGTAATTGAAATAAATATAATTTTTTTTAATATTTTTCAGATATTATTCTCTTAAATTTAATAAATATTATCTTTATAAAATGATTCAGATGTAATTAATATTTTAATAAAAGTTAAAAAGACTTTCTTGAAACCGATGATAACTAAAATATCAAAGAACAAACTTTTACTTGATTTTTAAGTTCATTTCCGACTACTCTGCCATTGTTCATTTTTTTAATGGAACTAACATTGATGTAAAATTAAATATAATACATTAAAGTAACTATTTTTTGACAACTATACATTAGAGTAACTTTAGTACAATCTAGATTTGATTAAGCAATATTTTATGTTCTATTTATATATATTATAAGTATAAACTTTTAAATAGATTAAAAATTGCCAAATATTTATTAAATATTTTAAAATAAGATGAAATTATTAATAACTGTAACAACTTACCAAGTCTTGGGTTAGAAAAGATTGAGCCGAAACAATTAAAAGCTCATAACTGGTATTCTTCCTTCAAGTTTCTAACCGAATTAAAAGTCCCAACTTTCATCATTAAAAAAGCTTGACAAGCGTTGAAACCACAGAGAAAAACCCAATAGGATTATATACATCGCCGAATGTCTAATTAAATAACTCGATTTCCAGCTTGATTTTTATACAATTTTCTCTCCATTTTCGGAGACCTCAGACACTTGATACTAACATAAAAATTTCTACATCCTGACCGGACACACTTCAATTACAAATACATAAAACAACACATAATATGGCTATCGACACAACCATCTTCTATCTTGCGAGATGGTTTCTAAACACCTAAAACAGCTTTGTTCTTATTTTGTTCAAGAAACCTATTTACTTGCATACTCAGAACCCCTCCAAAAATATTTACATTGAAGGACTCCTTTTCACCGATGACTTCAAAATTCCACGGTTTTAAAACTGGTATTTTGTAAAAGCTCCTCTTCCTTGTTACCTATTTACTCTTTTGTGGATTGGAATGGGTTCTAAGCCAACGCAGGAATGCTGCAATTTCGGCTATCCCTGTCAAGGCAGTCGAACCCCTCGATTCTAACCGCTGGTTTGTTACCAAAATTTGCCCGAACACAGCTCCCTTTCCTTGGACCGGAGGATGGAGACGACGAGGACAATCCAAAAGGAGATGGGATCGGAGATAGCAGTGGAAATGGGGTGGTGGTCTTCTCATCCCCAAATCGAGCATCCTGTATTAATGGGTTAGCAGCTCTGCTCGGCGGCGACCCACAAAAAAATGGGGGCGGCAGCGCTAAATTTGCACAGCTTTCTTCCACTCCACAACCATCCTGTTATATTTCAACACCAATAGCCATATGGATTTTATAAGAAACGATGTACTAAAACATAATAACTAAACTCTATTCTTTCGGTAACTCTTTAGCTGGCACATGGGCAACAACAACCTTAGTTCCTTTATAATTTAAATAGTGATTTACTGGTGTGTATAATTAAGACCATTTATAATTCCTATTTGTGAACAAGTTAAACATAATTTAGGAGTATAAATAAAATTAGGTGAAAGAAGTATACCTTTGTAAGAATCATATCCAAAACATCACTCCCAGGTTTTGAATCACAAAGCTCCCCTTGATGACTGAAAAACATCAAACAAATATGTCATTTCTTTGCTTTAGGTGATACTGAAAAAGGAGAGAGGATTGAAGGGCATAGAAAGAGGGGGAAATTACCTAAGTTGCCATCTAAGGGACCTCACAGGGTGGTCGTTGAAGGAGGAGTTTAAGGAACGCAAACGACGTGGTTTTGGGCAGACCATGGTCTCTCCCCGATCTGTAACCATAACTGACATCGGAATGGAGCTTCCCTGCTCCTCACGCCTGCTTCTGATCACGTTTTGTTGAATCGCAAACTGCTTCATCTTCTACCTTTCACCGGTATTTTTAATTAACTATTAACAAGTAGTTTACCTGTTCAGCACAAACATCCTTAATAAATCATCTTCCTAAAATGGAAACCAAGATATATAACTTTCGAAATTTCTTTTCAATATTAAAATTCTACAAATCACTAAAATCAACTTTAAATCCACAGATCTGCTCACATAAATTAAAACAAAACAAATTTAAGCAGATCGCTAATTAATTTCATCGCAGATCTACCTAGTCTTAGCAGAAAGAGATGTAAAGACAAAAATCAAACGTCAATTTTATAAATCTAGATTCCGGTAAAGACACGATCCGGATCAAAGAACAGATGATTCAGAACTGAAAAAAAACGCCATGGATCTTCCAAAAAGATCAACATAATAACTTACCTTAGCTTTTAACCACACAGCGCCTCTGAAATTCTTTCAGAAATGGAGAAAAAACACAAAATTTGGCGAAGGTACAAAGGATGACGATAAAGGAGAGGTCCAGTGTGATTTATAGGAGAAGCAAGAGAATCACAAAAAATAAATTAATTAATTAAAAAAAAAAAGGGAAAGGCATGCGGGGAGCAAGCGCCTGCAAAGCAACCACTTCTCTGCAATCTGGTCTGGCTGGGCTGTATCATTTATTTATTCATTTATGTAAAATTTAAAATGAATTAATAAATAATTTGTATATAATATCACGAAGGCGGTGCCTGCCTGCGGCGAGAAATATCAAGAACCAAACAAATTTTTACGAACCAATAGATGGGAAGCGAACATCCGTGTGATTTTGCTTTTGGACACGTGTTACTTGATTGTTTTGGTTTTCAAAATTTAGGGGGTAGGAACGTGGTGGGCATGGAGATTGGTTCGGATTGAGGTCCTTACTTTTTTGGTAAATTACGTGGATAATTATTTAATTATGACACTTTTAATCTAATTACTGATCTTTTAATTTTATTAATTAAATTGTTAAATTATTAGAATAATATTATTATATATTTGATCTCTTATTATTTATTTATTTTATCAATTTGATCATAATTTTAAATTAATTTTATTATTCATTAGATAATGACATGTTAACATCTAATTGGAAGAAAATTAATTGAATTAAATAAATTAAAATTACGTATTGAGTGACATACTATTCAAAAAAATGTGTCATGAAATAACACAACACAACAGTAATACGTGTCATCATTTGTTTGAAATATTAAATTTATTATATTAAATTAAGGTTAAGACCAAATTGATAAAATATATAAATATTAATGATCAAATATACAATTATACTAAATTTTTACGTTCAATGTTGATAACATGTTATTTGATTGACATTTTTGATCTACTTAACTGAATAAAATTAAAAAATTAACAATTAGATTAAAAATTTATCATAATTAAGTAGTCATTCATAAAATTTATCTTTTTCTTTTAAAATAAAAATTGTATGAAACGGTGATGGAGTATCCGGGAATTATGCCTACTCCACTGGGTTTTTATTTGAATATTGGCTTCCGCTACCCTTGTATTTTATTTTTATTTGTAAGCCTGAATTGTGAATAAATTAGTATAAAAGGTGGGGAGCTATTGGTCTGTTTTGACTCTATTGATAACGTTTATTAAGTTTGAATTCGCTAATTTATTATGTCTCTCTCTACATCCTCAACCGTCCACTGTGTCATGAGTTGCACAAACCATCAATGCTCAAGCCACCTAGAATTACAAGCCTGACCCCTATTCTACCATTAGCGGTACCATTGTCGGGCAACCCCAGTCATACACCTACTACCATACCCGGGTATTGAGCTAACCACAAGTAACGGCAAATTTGTTTCGATAATATGAAAAAAATTGAATTTTTTTTCTTAAATGATAGTGTAGATTTTATTTGTTTAAATTGTATGAATGTTATAGTGTTCAAGATAGACGTTTGGATTATACGACGATTTCGAGAAAGATGCAAAGAAAACAAAACGTTATCTCGGATTATCTAAATATTCTTCTCATTTTACTATATATATAACTCTACTTAAAGAAATAAAATTCAATAATCTTTCGCTTGTGAAATTTTTGTTTTCCTTCCCTGCTTGAGTGATTTTGCCCACAACATACCAACAACTATCGTATGCCTATACAGCTTGCACTTTCGTCTCCAACACCATGGCTACCCAATGGGAAGCCCTAAACCTAATGCTACAATGGCTAGTTCAACCCCAAAACATCCAAGCCCAAAAATCGTAAACAACCTATTCAGTAGCCTACCGAGTGACAAGTTCTGCACCAAAAAATGAGCCAACGCCCCATGCAGCACCCCTATTTGTAATCATCCGTCAGGTTCTGTCCATCTCGGGTCTATTATGTCACTAGTTCTCAATGAGTTTAGTAGTTCGTAAGTAATTTAAATTTGATTCGGTCAAAATTTAATTAAAGTTTGATTTAGATTGATTCGAACTTAAATTTGAACTCGACTCGAGATCTTAACGACTTGAATCGAGTCAAGTTCGATTCGACTCGATAAATTCACGAACAACTCGTTAATTTTTTTTATAACTTTGTAGTTTGGTGATTGTAAGAAATAATGAATGGAGTGAAGAGATGTTGATTTTCTTATTTTTAAGATTGATTATGTATTGTTGATTTTTTTTTCAAAAAATGTTTTTAATATATTAATTTGATTAATTTGTAGATTGTTATTTTGGAGTTTAAATTTTGAAATTGTGTCATACACTCTTTCAATAATTTTTTTGGTTAAATTTGTTAATTTATGTTTATATTAAGCTCTATATAATATTAGTAGATTTTGTTTATAGTTAACAATAAGGTAAAAATTCTAATGAACTTAACGAGCAATGAGCTTAACGAGCAACGAGCACGATTCGAGCAAAATTTTAACAAGTTTAACAAGTAACGAGTCAAGTTGAGCAACAAAAAATTTTAACGAACATGAGTCGAGTGCTGCCCAACTCGCAATCTACTCGCTCAATAAGTACCCAGTGTGTGACAGTCTAATTTAAAGTTAATTTAAAACAGTTTCAACTTAAAATGTTTGCATAATGCAACAAAATAACCCTAACGTTTGAAAGTAGTGTCAAACTTGCCCGTATTATTTTTTTGAAACATTTAACCACTGAACGTTTAACTTTGAGTCAAAAATTACACTTGATGGATGGAAACCGTCAGTCAATTGACGGTCAACGCCAGATGTTGACGGAGCAAGCACACATGGATGTGGAAGCTAACGTGGCATATCTATGTCGGAGATCATGATGACGTGGAACTGCCACGTCAGAATTTTTAAAAATAAAATAAATAATTTTATGATTAATATTATTTATATTTAATTATTTATGACCTATAAAAGAATGACACATGTCACTCTCTGATTAGTGTGAGAACCAAACTTGGGCAAAGGCTATGGAATAGCACAACCTTTGCCACTAGACCAAGCTCGTCATTTGGTTAAATAATGAATAAAATGATATTTAATACATATTCTATTTAAATTTAATGAAAAAAAATTAAAACACTTATTTATACTTTTGCATATACCATGAATGAACCACATTCACAACACACTATGAGTATGTCTATGTTACTCGAATTCAAGTGCAAATATTAGATACGAGTATATGGCTCGCGTAAGTTCATTCTTTTTTTTTTTAAACAAGTTTTTCCATATCCAGATAAGTTTCATGGGGTACTCTGAAACAAGAACAAAGTCGGATCAACTATCTATGCATTCAATATCAGAAATCAAAGTCTACCGGAGTCGGTACATACCAGAACAACAGTGATGAACACATATACTGTAGAGATTCGTTCTACATACAGCTAATAAAAAAAGCAAAAACAAATCTTTACGAAAACATTTCATGAAAAAATCCAGAATTTCATGATACTCGGTTTAAATTGTATAAGACTTCCATTAATTAAATGTGCAAAAGATACATAAGCACTCTGCCTAACATCTCTAGATTTTCTGTATTTATCGATATATCCCTGCAAAACAGAAAAAATAATGTCAATTTTATGAATGAATTACATTTAAAAAAAATACAACACTAATAGGCACTTGATAGAGAAAAGCAACATTCACACTTTGGGATCTAGTTTAGTTGGATGAAAGGGATTGGTAGAAGAAACAGAGCATTTATTTTATAGAATGTGCACAGAATAGTGCCTCTGGAATTAAAGACTCACACCTCAACAAGTCTTGCTATTTTTGGTTTGGCTAAAGAAAGATATTACCCGTGGATATGCTACATTCAAGAGTGATGGACCTGGATTAGAGAAAGAAAATATAAGAGACCTCTCTCCTGCATTGGGGGAATCAGTGATTTCACGAACAGCGTCATACTGGCTTTGCGGAGATGATAAGCCAGAGGTGACAAAAAAGGATGGCCGAAAGGGTACTGAAGGTTCCCAATCATCAAAAGAAATTTCTATTCTACATTCAGAAAAGTGCAATGGATGATCCCTGGCAATATCATTTACAATAAAGTTTTCTAGTTTAGAGTTAGTGAAGGGGGAATAGACTTGCAGCAAGGAAGATAACCTTGAAGTACAGCGCTCACTGTCATTGTCCAACATCTTTTAAGCACAAAGAGAGCATGCACTTGAAGAATAGCTTAAATTTAAAGGAAAAAAAATTAAAACACTTGTTTATACTTTCCCCTCTTCTCCTCCTACTTGGAAGGTTGTGAAGGTGGCAAAGGTGAAGGCGTCTTCGCCTCTGGAACCTCAATGTCACCACCACCACCATGTGAAAGCTTTACATTCAACAAAACACCCAAAGCTTGCATAACTCTCTGATTTTTTAAATGTTCATTCAATTTGCTAGGATTCCTCTGAATTTCTTGCATGGCTTTAACAAAATTTGGCCGCTGTAAAAATAAACAATCAGAGAGTGACACGTGTCAAGTCATTATGATCTCCGATATGGACATGTCACGTTAGCTTTCACGTTCATGTGTGCTTGCTCCGTCAGCATCTAGCATTGACCGTCAGTTGACTGACGATTTTCATCCATCAAGGGTGATTTTTGACCCAAAGTTAAACATTCAGTAGTCAAATGTTTAAAAAAAAACAATACGTGCAAGTTTGACACTAATGTCAAACTTCAGGATTATTTTGTTGCATTATACCTAAAATGTTATCATGTTCAACCTAAAAATAATATAAAATTTTAACATTTTCGGTTTCAATAAAAATTACGTTACAATAATTTATAACTTACAACAAAAATATTATTAAAAAATAACATTTTTTATCGTAAGAAAATCATTCATGACGAAACATTACGGGCTGTAAACTCTACCGAATGGAGGCTGGAATCAGTTTGTGAAATTGTCAAACAAGATGAATCGTGAATCGGGCTGAAGATCCATGACGAAACATTACAGGCTTTGAATCTCCAAACACGTAATCGGATTTTGCCAACCCAAAAAATTACCATCTTAAACTCTTAGGCCGCATTGGATTACAAATAATTAGTTTATAGATTTTATAAAGCAATGTCAACTACTTCTTTCTTGGATTAAACGATGGCAATAGTTAAAAAGAGAGTGTTTTTTCTTAAGTTTTGAGTTTAAATAGTTGAGTGGATACTATATGTATACATTATCGATGATTAAAAAAATTATAAATAGATATTACTTTTTTAATCACTCAAACTATTTTAAAAAATAATATAGGATTCTAATAGAATTTGTAAACTCTACCTTATTTTAAAAACTAATTAAGCAACCTCGTTACTCCTTAGAGTGTGTTTGATTGGAGGAATGTGAGATTCCCATAGGAATGGAATCCACATTTTCCCGTTTGGTTGGCCGGGAATATCGTTCCCGATAATTTTACATTATCAATAGTGGATTTTTTGGGGTATATTACCGGGAATGTCATTACCTCTCTTTCCTTAGGTATTGTTGGATTACCACCGTTTTGGACTAAAATGCCCTTAATTTTTTTTTCTTTCAAAAATATCCTTATTCTATCATTGAATAATAAAATTCTACGAATGTTATATTAGATTTACAAAAAAAAATTCTATAATTAAAATTTTATATGAAGTTCAAGGGTTAAAATAAAATTTTACCCTTTCATTAAACCTTTTTATATTTTCAATTTTGTAAAAAAAATTGTATAAATTTTATGAATTTATATTTTTTAAAGAAAATATATAAATATTTTTCAACTTGTTAAAAAAAAATATATAATAGAGACAATTTGGTTAAATATACATTCAAATAATCTTTTGTTCCTTTAACCAAACACGATAATCTTACATTCCTGCTAAGTCAACCAAACACAAAATACAACATTCCCATTAATCCTATTCCCTGGTAATCTTACATTCCTACTGGTAATCTTACATTCCGTGAATCAAACACACCCTTAAATCTTCCTGCAGCACCATGCGCACCATCGCAGGAGGAGCTGTAAACTCTACCCTTTAAACTATGTATATATATATATATATATATATATATATATATATATATATATATATATATCATATTTTATTATAATTTAATGAATAAATTAATATGTTATTCTAACTTGATGTGCGTTGGTAAATTATACTGCAATACGTAAATTATTAGCAACGATAATTATAAATGATAAAAATCAAGTCTTTTAAGGAATATCGATATATATATATATATATATATATATATCGATTCTATAGGTAAAATCTGATAAATTGTATATTACAATTTCATTAAAATTGAAATATAGACTTATATAAATTAAAATATATAATTTATATAAATTTATATAAATTAAAATTTTATCATTACAATATAATGTATCATGATTAAATTTAGATTATGGTATAAATATAGATTTTTTGTGTCTTTATTTTTAAAGGAATATAATGATTAAATTATTATTATAGTTTATTTTTAAAATGATTTGTTGAGGCAAAAAAGGAGTGGATTGAAAATTTAGGGTCCAACAATCGACATTTACCGGTTACGACAACCGATGATGTTGAATGACGATGGACGATAAGAACTTTTACTAAATTCAAAAGATTAAATTGATATTTTACCTAAAATTCAAGGATTAAATTAATAGTTTGCTTAAAATCTAATGTTTAATCTAAAGTTTAATTATTTTTAATGACGTATTGTATTATCAAACTAGTGAGAGTTAACACTCAATTATTAAAATAAAACATATCGAAAATAATAGTGACTAGAGCATAACTTTGTTTCAAAATCATTGATTAAAATAAGATAGACCAAAACAAAAGTGACCAACACTGTAATTTACATTTATATAAAATATTATATTTTAACATGTCCGGAAACCAATCAGGAAATGGATAGGCATATTTGTTTAAGATTTGACATATGCTGCAGCTTATAATAATTATTTACAGCCAAAAGGATTGTATCGGCATTTCCTAATCATAATCACAAATACAGTAGAAATTGCCCATTTGTTAAAATTCATTTTGTTTGATGGAACAAAAAAAAATGTATAATTCTGTACAATGAACCAAATCATATTTGAGTTTGAAATTTTATAGAATGCGTAATTATTTAATTTATTAAGGGGCATTCTAGCATAAACAACTCCAGTTTTTCTATAATATGTTTGCTTGAGAGATGAGTAAGGATTTGAAACCCTGGTTGATTATTAGCACTTGAACAGCTCAAAATCTCATTTTTATAAACATTTCCAGCGTTGCAAACTCGTATATATTCATCATCTCTACCAGTCTACTACCAATCTCAAATAGACAAATACCCCTTTTTGTTCATAGTTCCAATTCAATTATAAACTATATAATACTACATTGTTTGTTTTACACGACACGCACATATATAGATAGAGAGCACTTCAAAGTGCGAAATGAAAGATGACGGGTGAAAAAGAGATGATGAAAAAACCCAGATTGCGAGAGAGAAGGACGCTCTTTAGGCACAATCGCTGAAGAAGAAGAAAGAATATGCAAAACGTCTTCCAGTTTCTGTTTCTCTCTCTGTGTTGTCATTGTGTGAAGCCAATAGTAATTAGCAGGAGAGGCACACGCAGAAGAAGTGGCTTCTGTATATGTCCATTCACACCTCATCAATACCCATTTTCTTCTCCATGAAACCCGTTTTCTCTTCTTCTTTTCACCCACTCTTTTACCCTCCTCTTCCCCCCCTCCGCCGTCCCAGGTGGCCCCGGATGAACTTCTCCGCCACCTACCACCACCACTACTCCGATCAAAACAAGACCAAGCTCGTTGTCATCATGGGCGCCACCGGCGCTGGAAAGTCCCGTCTCTCGATCGATTTGTCCGCTCATTTTCCTCGCTCTCAAATTATAAACTCCGACAAAATGCAGCTTTACAACGGGTTGGATATAACGACGAACAAAATTTCTATAAAAGAGAGGAAAGGTGTTCCGCACTTCCTGCTGGGGGACTTAGACAAAATCGACGACGACGTCGAGCCGTCTCATTTCCGTTCTATGGCGGCTTTCGCAATTGCTGAGATTGCTTCCCGTGGGGACCTGCCGGTTGTCGTTGGCGGATCCAACTCATTCATCCATGCTCTCCTTGTGGACACCTTTGACCCCGAAGTGGACGTGTTTGCAGCCGGGTTGGGCTCAGTGAGTCACGCGTTGAGATACGACTGTTGTTTTATTTGGGTTGACGTGGCCTGCTCGGTTCTGCGCGACTACCTAAGCCAACGAGTAGACGAAATGCTCGACTCGGGGATGTTGGAAGAGTTGGGTCAGTTCTACGACCCGGCAAAACAAGGTATCCGTATTGGGTTAAGAAAAGCAATCGGAGTTCCCGAATTCGACAAATATTTCACCAAGTTCCCTCCACGGGAAACCGTAGAAAAGGAGTTAGTTCCGCCGTTAAGCAGCTCAGATACGGCGAGGAGGACGGCGTACGAGGAAGCCGTGAGAGACATTAAAGACAACACATATTGGTTGGCCAAGAGACAGATAGGGAAGATCATGAAGCTAAGAGAGGCGGGGTGGGATCTTACTAGAATCGACGCCACGGCGGCGTTTAGAGCGGTGACGATGAAGAAAAACAAGTCATATTCCCGGGATGTGTGGGAGAGGGAAGTGGTGGGACCAAGCGTTAAAGTTGTTAAGAAATTTTTAAACGAGTAGGTTTTTCAGCCATTTCCAGCCATTATTTGTTGTTCTGTTCGATGTGCAATGGCTGCACCAACTCACTCGGCAAGCAAAGGCCGGTGGCTTTTGGTTCGCATGCATGCAAAAAAACCAATTTTTTTGTAGGTAAACAAAATCTGTGATTTTTTTTGTTTTATTTTCACCGCTTAAAATAGTGTTAATTGGGATAAAAATTGCATTTTTCTTTTGGTTTTGTCACACACCTTTGGACTACACTACACTTGTGCCAATGGGAACAAAGGGTCATCGTGCCTTGGTTTTCCTGTTTCATGGCATCTTTATGCAACAAAAATACCCATTTTTCTTCAGAGGGATTTTAATTTTAAATCTCCAGTTTCGTAGGATGAATGGCATTAAATTGGGGAGTCACGTCGTGGTAGATTCTGGTAATTAAAATCCAATTGTACTTTGATGAAAATGATGGGATGAATTGTCAATTCTCTGGCAGAGTCGGCATTTGCAGTTTCTAGAATATTTATTCATTTCTTATACCAATTAAGCCCTCACCTAGATGGTCGTGATTCAATAAAACAATCTCCTTTTTAAGTTGCATCATCAATAATCTCTCTTAGTACATATTATTTGAAATAATTATTATGTTTATAAATAAATAATTTTAATTCAATCATTAAATTTTTAATATTATAATTTAGGGATTGTTTATTTATTTCAGAATGATTAAACACTGAATGATTCAAATGTTGAATAATGACATGTTGTTTGATAATTATTTTGAATCATTCAACATAATCTTTATTCATAGGTCAGAAACAAACACGTAAAATACTGAATAAAAAATAAACAAACAGTCCGTGTTAATGATAAAGAGGGTCATTTTGCTCCCATCAATCTTAATAAAAGGGAGTATTATTCCTCCATTTTCCTCCTTAAGACTCTCTTCTCCTCGTATCAGCTTTACGCTCTAAATGTTTATTGTATTCGGCTCTCTATTGTAAACCATGACTTTTTGCCACATAAGGAGGCTAGACCTGTCAATTTTAATGGTTTAATTTTATTTTAAGTCGTTAATATTTTGAAAATTATTAAAATTAAATTCTAAGTTTTTTAAAATTTTATTAATTTTATTATATTTTTAAATTAAACTTTTATTAATTTTAAAATTGATGAAATTAAGTCTTATCTTCATTTTTTGGTTTAATTATTTTGAAAACTTTTTAAATTAAAATTAATAAAACTAAAACCTATTCTTTTAAATTTTACAATATTTTCCGTTTCAAAGTTAAATAACTTAGTTATTTATAATTTAATCCTAGTTATGCTCCTATTTTTGTCCAAATTAAGATGAGTGAATTGTTAGAAACTATCACAACTGGTGTCTCCCTCTTTACCAATCAGTTGTAATCAAATTTGAATTTTTTATTATTAGACTCATGTGGCTCAAATTCTATTTAAGTATTGTTTGAACTCGATGATGTTCATTGTTTAAGAATACCCCTTTAAGGGGTTTTGTTGAATAGGTGAACTTGTATATTGATGACTTGTGTCAAGGTGAAGATTGTTTGATTTTTGTGACTTGAATCCTATTAGATTCGATTTGAAAAGTTCGTGATTGTTTGATAAATAGATAAAATAGAGATAAAAAAGTATATACATCGTACAAAACTATACTTCTATACTTAGTTGTTGATTAAGAGTAGGAAACTTAATACGAGTAGAATTTTTTTTGTACGTATATTTTCTTTAGAATCAACTAGAAAGTACAAATTAAGTATGAATTAACTAACACTAAAATCACGCAGTCTCAATCCTTTTATAACCACTTTTTAATACAATGAAATTTCTCTCTTTTATCCTAGATTTTCATCCTATTAGATATTTGTTATAAAAAAATCTTAATATTTTATTTATTTATTTTAGTATAATCATCAATATTTAATTTATTAATCGACTAATTCAGATCAAATATTAATATTTTATTTTAATTTCTCTATGTGATAATCAATATCTAGTATTAAATTAAGGGTAAAGTATAGTAATGGTCACTAAACTTTTCTAAAGTTTACATTTAAGTCCCCAACTTTTAAAACTTGCAATACAATCCCACAATATTTAGTCCGTTTGTAATATGGTCCCCAACAGTTACGTCAGAGACCATATTACAAACGGACTAAATGTTGAGAGACCATATTGCAAACGGACTAAATGTTGGGAGATTATATTGCAATTTTTAAAAGTTGGGGAACTAAACGAAACCTTTAGAAAAGTTCAATGACCATTACGATGCTTTACCCTTAACTTATTTATTAAAATATACTAAATATAAATACCAAATTTATATTATATAGTAATGTATCAAATCAATTTACACCATAAATGTTTTATCTCATATTCGAGGTGATATCATGATCGACAAATACTATAAACCGAATGAAAAAATCTTATATATTTTTTCTTTGATAGAGACTCCTATAATTATCGTTATATTGAAAATTTACAAATCACATAAAATTTATGATATTAAGATTAAGTTATGTCTATTATTTTTTTACATAAACTACGACATTTATATGTGTGGGATCCATTCATGAATTTGGAAATCAAATCTATGCATTGAGTAAAAGGCATTGGAAGGAAGCTTGATCCGTCCGATTGTAAATTTATTAGTATACGTGATAATAATAAATTAGAATAATTAAAATTAAAATTAATTATTATAAAAATACAATTTATTTAAAATAAAATTTAAGTTTAATATTTTTAAAATATTATTTGTGTGTACAATGATAAAATATATTGCATTTTTAAAGGAAAAAATATATTTGAATCAGAATGATGTTGCCACGCTCGACGAGTAAGGATAAGCACGGTTAATGATGAACATTATAAAATTAAATGTAAAATATAATAATGGTTACTGAATTTTTTTAAAGCTTTCATTTAAGTCCTCAACTTTTAAAACTTACAATACAATCCCCCAATATTTAGTCTGTTTGCAATATGGTCTCCCAACAGTTACGTCGGGGATCATATTGCAAACAGACTAAATGTTGAGGGACCATATTGCAAATAGATTAAATGTTGAGGGATTATATTGCAAGTTTTAAAAGTTAGGAGACCTAAATGAAAGCTTTAGAAAAATTCAGTAACCATTACTATACTTTACCCTTAAATTAATTACTCAAACGTTTTAGAAACAGAGAAAGAGTTGAAAGTTTGAAGCAGAAATGAGGGAGGTGTAGTTATTGACCAAGCATGGTGAGCGAAATGGTTATCCAACTCCTGTCGATAAGTTCGTGCAGCTGAATCCAACTGCCTTACTAACCATATGATATTTTAATATACGATTAAAGAAAGACGTTATTTAAAATATTATTATTTTTTTTAACATTTCTAGTAAATCACTATCTAAAACATTATTTTTTATATAAAAAATGTTACTATTAAACGCTACCTAAAATATTATTTTCTATCAAAAATATTAATATTGAAAGCTACTTAAAATGTTATTTTTTATATCAAATTTTAAATAGTAAAATTAACATTTTTGATAAAAAGTAATATTTTAAATAATATTTTATTAAAATATTAAAATAATAATATTTTAATAGTATTTTTTAACTGTATATTTAACTGTCGATAGAAGTACCCTATTTCTGACAGATATATAAGTTCCATCACATGCCACATTTATTGGCAATAGAGGAATCCGTAGGCAAATTGACAAGCAGTTTATTATTAAATATTAAACACATCACCAGTTCACCAACCTTTAGTCTTAAATTAATGCCAAAAAATAAAACAATTGGAAGAGAATTTAGAAACAAGAAGCAGCAATTGAATCATGCAGCAGCTTTGAGTTTGACTATCAAAATTATTGGTATTTTGTCATAATTGTCTTATTTTTATCTCCCCCCAGCCAACCAGATCTGCAACTAGGTGTTGTTTTACAACAGTTTTATATGATCGTACGCCGGTTTAAACAAAACTATATCCATATGCATGGCTTGCACGTAGAAGGCAAAGACCATAACAAAAGCCTTGATTGCTTGTTAGCTATAATTTGATTAACCAAGCTTCAAGGGACGATTTAATCACCAATCTTCCGGTCATATAGTCTTATCACTGGATATCTAACATCAAGTACATATGCAAGATTTTATATTAAGATCAAATTTTTAAAATTTTAAGAGATGAATTTGCAAAAATTTAGTAGATAAAAATATATTATTAATATAAAATAAAATATATGATAATTTTAAATTTTTAAGGGCAGACTCTCTACTGCTTCCCTCGATCCATCTCTATCTAACATGAACATGTTTTTATGACAGGAAGGGGAAACAAATAGCGCAGGAAATGCTCTTTGTATTTTTTTATATTGAGTGTTAATGCGGTGACGGGGCAAAGATGTTTAATCTATGTAAAATTCTACTTTTTTCTTTACACATTGATTAAGAGTAAGAAACTCAGTTTGGTAGTTTTTTTCTATGCAATTTTTTTTTTGTAAATAAAAAATTTATCTATATAAATATATACTAGGAATTATAATTTAAAAGTAAGTTGATTAAATCTTAAATCGCGTTTAGATGTAAATATACTAGGAATATTAACAGTTGAATCTCTTTCAAGTGTTGGAAAGAGATGCAAATGAAAGAGATGCAAAGAGGAAACTGTATGAGGGCAGAAAATAGTAATCGTCAAACACCGCATTAACATGTAGAGAAGGAGAAGTGCTCCCACTGTAATTAAGTACAACAACTTCTCATTATTGTTCTAAGACTCTAGTTTAATAGTGTTAATCATAATTTATAATCCATCTAACAAAGAATTTCATACGAACATTGAGAAATTTGTCTCATCGTGACTAAATTATGTGCTTCATTTCTGTTGTGCTATGGAAGGGCCCGACAAATTGCAAACATGGTAAAAATTTGTATTACGTACAGTCAAATTTATTCCCAACTTGCATGCATGCATGCACTTTGCACTGAAATTGCTTGGTCCATGTGCAATGT